CACACACACACACACACACACACACACACACACACACACACACACACGTAAATATCTTAGACGCTATATAAAAACGGACAACATGACACCTCCCTAAAAGTGAAGTCAAAACGTCTCCATCGCTCCCCTGTGGCTGGCTGTAGTATAGGTCATAAACCCCGCCCCCTCCATGATAGCTGATTGTTAATTTTTCTGATAAGGTAGGTTTTAATGAGTTATTTGATGCTATAGAAATGTGGGGTGACGTCATGATTGACAGTTGTGATTGACAGCTGTGATTTAAGTCATGATTGACAGCTGTGATTGACAGCATCACAAAGACAAATCACCAGTCTGTGTAATACAACGTGCTCCAGATTGATCATAAATATATTTATAGAGATATGATGGTTAATTGTCATGTCTTTCTAGCCAAACAGCTATCGTGGTGCTAACGTAGCAGCTAAGAGGCTCACGCTAAGAAGCGGTGGCCGTGCTCGGCTAGCGATTGGCTCAGGCGGGTGTGACCTCGATAATGCAGCTCAGACGCGCCCATCACTACGGCACAGACTCTGTCTCTCTGTCAAATGACCTCAAAACCTCACGATGGCAGCTCCCGTATCCAGAATATGTGTATGGTAAATGTGACACACGTCTGAAATATTGACACATACCAAAGGGAATACTGAAGAATGGGCTCAGCAGGGCAGTGTCAGCGGTGCATCTTTGCTTTGGGTCATTGAGAAGCATGCTGTAGACACAAAGTACCGAAGTGACAATAAACAATATTCCTCTGCTTAAGCCGGTCAATACACAGCACAGTAAGTAGCATCGCAGTCACGTCCAAGCGGTCTGAATTCAAAGCTATATGTGTGAGAACTTACGTTTTGATGAGGTCTCTGAGGTGATAGACAGGGATGGCAGGGCACACCACACTGTTGCTGGCAAAAATATGGTCTACAAGGCCGGCACTGTTATCCTGAAGAAGAGGAAAACATGTTTTTCTTCTGCTGTATTTGACTCGTCCTTACTGAACAGTTGATTCAAAACTTCTACAAACTACCTTCATTTGTTTACAGATATTTTTCCCTGTTACTTTATGTTTAAACATGCAACAACAGTTATTTTTGATTTTAGACATAGAATCAAAAACAGCAAAAAAATGAATCGTTTTTTAATGACAGACATCACAAGTCTGCCTAATGTTTTTAATTGATTATTCTTCCTTTAATCATCAAATCTACTATTAAGTGTTTCTAAAGAGAATTAGATATTGTTCAGTCAACTGTCTGTGCCGGAATGCAACATTTGGAGAGCGTCCGTCTGATTCCATTAAATCAATATCCTCGATCCACCACGAGCAGAGCTTTGTCATACCTTCCACTTCTGCGAGCGGATGGTCTCTTTGAGTTTGATTCCTGAGCACATCTCCAACAGGATGATGCCCAGGCTCCACATGTCCACGGCGGCCGTGCAGCCCGATTCCCCATCCACCCCGGCCTGGGCGAGGCTGTTTTGCAGCTCGGCCTCCGGAGCTCGATACCCGTCTGTCTGGATGTACTTGACGTCCTGCAGGAGGTGAGGCAGGGAGCGAGTCAGAAATGCAATACTCGACTACACTTCCACTGACCTTCAGATTCCCAGGCACGCCCACCTGGTTTCCCTCTTTGAAACTGAGGCCGAAGTCGATGAGCTTGAAGCACTCGTCGTCAGCGCTCCAGAGAATGTTGCGTGGCTTGAGGTCTGCGTGGACGTAGCCCTCCCTGTGGAGGAAGGCGAGAGCCTCCAGGATGTCTCTGGCACAGTGCTGGACAAGCCACATGGAGTGGCCCTGCTGGGGTCTGCCGGCAAACATCAATTTTTCATTCGTGAAGGCCACATGCAGCATAACGCATTCATTTGCAATTAAAGCGATCAGATATTTAGTTAAGTTTTCAAATGAGCAATCCGTTACAAGGTCACAGTGAAATGTAAATTGTGCCTGGGGGACGGGTGTCTGACAGCTGCAAAGAACTCCACTTCAAATGTAAAGAAACACCTGCATACGCCCAGCTTCACAACACTGGTGGGTGGCAAAGCTAATCAAGGAGGAGAACGACGCCGGTGCTACATCTCTGAAACAGGAGCGGCTTTCGGCTGTCACTCCGAGGGAAATTATCGAGCTTGTAGCTGGTTACGTGGTAGACAAGATGCTACCAATATCAACTATCGAGTCTCCATCTTTCCATAAGATCATTAATAAAATCCCTGCGAGGCTTAACATGGAGGAAACAGTGAACATTTGTTGGCTACCTCGATGTAACAAAGAGCTGCTAAAGGGATAATGCGTCGGTTATTCCTGCCTGCAGAGTTATAGATGCCGACAGTAGGCTGTGCGCCCTCTGGACAATGTAACCAACATGTGCAAGGAGTCGCAAAGGGGTTAACATTTTTGGTAACACAAAAGTACACCGAAGAGTTATTTTTCTACAACGTAACAAGTTACCTTTTAATGGCAGTAAAAGTAACATTATGGGGCAAACACCAAATGATTGGAAATTGTGAAATTATTCCCATCAAGTTGCAATTTTTTCTAATGTAATGTCACAAAATGTACTTATGATTTAATAATTAAAGATTACATGGGCCTCTAGCTACAGGATGATCAGTGGAAACACGAGTTCAAAATAGGGGAAACAAAGCAGTCATCTCCTGTATGGGAGGCAAAGGTTTTGGCCATTAAGCTTTATGTACAAATGCATAGTGGGGTTACTTACACTCAATTACAGGTTTATTAGCAACTCCTAGCTAAAACTAATGCAATAGCATTCAAATAAATCCTCTTGTCATGAAGCTTATATTGTTGAGTATTTGTTGAAAGGACTCGATGCAACTGTATGGTCATTTCGGAGGCTGAAGTCTGTGGTTGTAGAATTGTATTGTTATACTGACAGTTGTTCCTATTGTTTTGTCCACACCATTAATATCAATGAGGGCAGGCTAAATAACAGAGACTTCTCTCTGTATAATGCAGTACAGTTCAGCGCTACACACGGCAGCTTTCAACAAAAAACTGAACATCATAACCTTCATGAAGGGAGACGTTATTGTATGACGGCGGTATTATTCCTGCATACGTTTTAGCTATGTGTAGACCAGGGGTCGCCAACCTTTTTTAAACTGAGAGCTACTTCAAGGGTACCGAGTAGTACGAAGGGCTACTTATTTGATACAAACTTCCTGAATAACAAAGTTGCACAGATCACCTTTTCATAATAATAATATATGTGAAGAGACTGTTTGATCACGTGAGTTAATTATTCCTCACTAATTATTAATAATGATTTCCACAACAATGATGGTATAGCTACACATACATATTTAAAACATGCAACTTTTATTTCAGTTAATCTGTTTCAACATTTGAAAGTCAGAGGTATCACATCTCTGATATTTTTGTATCATCACATGATTAAAGCCGGTTACTTTTGCACATAGCGCCTGCTGGTGAATGATCCAGTGGTAATGTAGAAATTTTGGGAAGTCTGGGTCACCTTTGCATTGCGCAATGAAGCTGCATGCCGGCCCGTCATCGCGGGAGCACCGTCTGTTGTCACCGACACCAGCTTTTCCAACGGTACCTTTTTCTCCACGAAGAAACTAGTAAAAAGTCTCGTCTATAGCCTGGCGGGGGATCCAACCCTCCGAGGCGCGCGAGCGTCTTCGGGCGTCCGCGTTCAAACCTCTAGTATGGGCCTTTTCGGTCGGGTTGCGTTGCCTCGCCTCTACCCCCACCACCCCTGAGTTGTTGCCCCGCGGACTGTTCCGAGGATTTACAGACCTGACGACGGGGTGCGCTCGCGGCGCGCGTCTGGCGCCAACGGGAAGAGCCCGCGATTGGGAACCTGAAAACCTAGTGCGGTACGGCGGCCTCGTCCTGGCTGTCCGCCGTGCGCCTCCGGGTACCCAACTCTCTTATGACAAGAAATATTGTCATTTTTAAATCTACACTAATGCAAGTGTTTTTGATTAAAAAAAGAACAGCAACTACAATTTTAGACGGAGCTCCAAAGGTGACTAGTGCTATTTTTAGAACATGTCTCGCGGGCGACTCACGTGGTTTTTGTGGGCGACAGGGTGCCCGCGGGCACCGTGTTGGCTACCTCTGGTGTAGATGTATGTAATATAAAATAATTAGATGCAGGATATTACACAATGTGTCACTACTTCATTTCACCATCACTAGTGAGTACATTTTATGCTTTGAGAAGCACAAACAAATAATCTTCATTGTCCTGAGGAGGCAACAGAGAATGAAAGCCGGACAAATACAACAGAAAAGACTTGCAGGCCAAAACAGCGCTCATGTATTTTCTTTTTCTTTTTGGAAGCAGGGACTTAACGTCACTCACCTGGCACCCTGGGTACCACTGCTGCTTCTCACCAAGAGATCAGACACACTGACATCCAGGAGCTCCAGCAGCAGACAGCGGGTGGCGACACCCATACAGCTGTGGTTGGTGAACACCCCGTACAGTGTCACTGATGGGAAGAGAGACTCTGTCATTACAAACAGCTGGGCCTGTACTGTTGGAATTGTCTCACGTTTAAGACAACAAGGCAATAGTATTGACTATATGATAATGCCAGGAACAGTTTCATGTTTTTATATAGGTTTACAGAGCTGTCAGCCATGATTATTTTGCAGAACCCTGTGACAAACGTAAAAGCCTGAAATTTTACTGAAATCAGATCATGTTTCATGGGTTATCATATGCATAATTAAAAAACAGAGCATTACTATTTGTAAATATTCTTACAAAATATTCTACCACGTGTGTAGGCTACCACAGATGACAAGCAAGTTGCTATTAGTTGTACGAATAGTAAGAATTTACATTTAATTTCCATGTCAGCGTTTTCGTTTTGTTAATCAAATAGTTTTAGTAAAACCATGTTGTTACCGATGTTTTTATGCCCCTGGATGTCCTCCAGGACGGACCTCTCCTTGTGATACCCGTAATCTCCTCCCTGGGTGTCGGCCTGAAACTCCTTGACCGCGGCGGTGGCGGTGGCTCTGCCGGTGGAGCTGACCCGGTACACCGAGGCCGAGACTCCCTGGCCGAGCCGCGACTGGACGGTCCATATCTCACCGAAGATCTCGAACAGCACCGGCTTCATGCTCTGGTCGACGCCGCCCTGTGACGACGTGTTGCTGTCGGGACCCGGTGCCTTTGCACTTGGCTCGGAGGAGCCGCAGTGAGCCATCGGGAGACGGAAGACAGGAGGAGAGGAGCCAGCTAGTTGAGAGGTATGAGCAGCTGCAGGAGCATTGCGGGCGAACCGGGGCTCTGTCAGCGCCGCATAAAAACTACCAGCACGTGTCAACGACAGTTTACAGACAGACCACCTACAGCCAGAGCCTCGTTAAAACTAAGCACAGAGCAATACCTCTGCATATTATACTACTGTTTGCTTACTGAGGTTGTCAATAGTCAAGTCACGCTAGTCTTACACAAAGTTAGCTAACGTAGCTGCTCCAACTGGCTAAACTATCCGTTGACTTCCAGCACAAAAGCACAAACCACGCCCACGACACGCAGGACAATTTGTCCCCCGTAATACCGCATCCGTATCGACTATAATAACGTAAATACAAATGTTTTTCGGCAGTAAAGTTTTGACCAAGTTGCAACTCAGGTTGTTGTTATTAATCTTACTTCCGTTTCTGCTTTCCTCCCTGTAGGTTTGCGGTGCATCTTCTCCTGCAGTCTGCCCCCTGCCGGTGAGGAGGGGCACAATATTTGTTGTTTCCAACAAAACGTTAAAATGGTTGTTTTGTTTTGTTTGTGTATTTCTTTTTCCCTTTCAGGGTTCCTCTTATGAAATTGTCTTTCATTCAAATTCGACTGTGTTTTCAGATGTTCTGTTCCTTTGATTTGATCAAATGAAACACACAAACAGCTGGTTTTCTATCTATTGTATAGGCCTACTCATGTATATGGCTTACATTCATGTGGTTATTAATACACCTAATGTGTGTAATTATTTTTCAAACAGCTGAAATACTAGGTGATCTTGTTGAGACCAGACAAGTCATATTCGTCATATTGTACCACAAAACCAAAACAGCAAAGAAAACCAGTTCATTTTCAAGTATTGTTGATTTTTTCTTTTGATTTTGGTTGCTCTCATTGGTATGACATTAAATTGTTTCACATGGTATCAATCATTCTCTAATGCAGTGGTTCTCAAACTGTGGGGCGCGCCCCTCTAGTGGGGCGCGGTGGTATTACATGTGGGGCGCAGGGGGAAATGCAGATTTTTTTTTTTTAATTTTTTTTTTTACATTTTTTTTTTTAAGTAATTAATAAATACATGACGAAATGCCTGTACTTTCGTGTAAATGTTTACGTTACGCCGTTAACAGGTTACGCTTGCGCATGCGCGACAGCCATGATCCTTGGTGACTCACATGTGTGGCTTAGTGTTCCAAATGTAGAGACATTTGGCAGGCGGGAACAGAAAAGCAACCGCAAGCAATGCATCCGAGACGAACAGCAAGCAGCCAAGAAGAAAATATGATACGCCTATCTTGCTCTGGGTTTCACAGTGAACGTGGTAGGAGATGAGGAGAGACCAGTCTGTGTTTTATGTCTGAAAACTCTAGCTGCGGATAGTATGAAACTTGTTTTGTTTAGTTTTTCACAGGTTGCACTTTATTGTTATCTTGAAAATATGTTTAGTGCAAAACAGGTTAATTGCAATAAGCTATTTTTTTGCCAAATTGTAGTTCTTTTTTGCACAGATATAACTTTATTTGCTTTGTTCTAACAAAGTGATTGCACATTTTATTTGTTTTTGTCTGATGGAGCAATCTGGTTTACTTAAAAGTAATTGCAATTTTCTTTATTCTATTATTTGAAAAAGCACAGACGGAGGAGTCACAAAATGTTATTTCAATAAAAGTTCAACATGGACCATTTTGTTACAATTTTGTTGGGGCGGTGGGGCATGAACATTTTTCTTCCTCCAAAGTGGGGCGCGACAGAAAAAGTTTGAGAACCACTGCTCTAATGCAATGTATGAATGACTTAAAACAGATCTAACAAAGATCTATAACACAGTGCCCCTTAGTTAATAAACTTCACCATCTCCTAAACCTTACACCTAAACGAACCATCTCCAACATAAATAAATCCACTCAAACAAAAGTCAAACCTCATGCTTAACTTAACCAGAAACGCTTTAATAGTATTATACAACACACCACTTAAATGATCTTCAGCACATATTTCTCCAATTGCTGCCTGCTCACAACTTTGCTAGAATGTTCTTTCAAGCAGGGTTTTGCATCATGTGACTTATAGAGAATCTTTCAGCTCTTGTAGTCGAGGAACTAACAGTCAAAAGTCACTGCCATGTGATGTTATTATATTAGGCCAGCTACATCAATACAAGTCTCTCTAGATTCAGTTACAACCTCTCTCTGCCATCTGTCATCTCCTCATAAGGTCTGGGAAGTGTTTTCACCGGAAATAGAGGAACCAGCATCCCGGAAAGGGAAACGTCAACAAAATGAGGTGGTGTTTTTGAACATTTGGCAGAAAACGATACTCCTGCATATCTGTCCCGCTGAGGAGGACGAGAAGAAGAGGTCCTTGTTTGAAGCCGCACGTTTTACAACCTTGAAACAGTAAGTCGGAGACTTAAACTGCAGGCAGAGCCGCTGCGGACCAGCGCATGTTATGTAATGTCTCCACTGAGCTGAACCATGCAGGCGTTCAAGTGTCAGGTCCTAAAGCAGATGTTGCGTCGTTTATATTTTGACGCTGGCAACAAGCGGGTGAGTAAGTCGATGATAAAGGTCTGACCTTGAACGCAGAATTTAAAAAAGCGGACAGTAACGCAAAGTCCATTGCAGGAGTCTGCTTCAGGAGAAGCTAAAGCTAGCTAGCTGTCATTTGATCAAGAGCTGCAGCGGTGTCTGGATTTTTTTTTTTTTTTTTTACAGGCGTTTTTTGTTGTTTTCTGGCTCAATAATATTTCATAGTGACCAGTGAGCGAACCCACTGAGTGAGCACACAGTTATTCTGCTGTCTTTAATACATTATCTAATGTTACTCGTGTCATTCCCCACCCATTGCCTGCTAACGTTTGCTACATATTAATAGGAGCGTTAATGTTGACCAGGTTTTCACGTTTTGAGGTGTCACAGCTGCTGAGCTCGCGCGGTCAGTCGCTGAGGTGTGGCGGTTGCGCGTGACTTTCCAGGAAATCAGTTGACAGACCTCCTGGATTTTAGGAAGGATCTGGAACACGTCTGTCTGTCCTTCTTTCAGAATGCGGTGGCGCTACACGTCACTTTGGTTTTGATTCACATCAAGTAAACATCTTTAAGGCAAAACGTGGGTTTGTTTTAAGTCCAGCATGCATGCTGTTTTTAGCGGGATAGATATTGTGCATGAGTTAGAGTAGGTTAAGTGCCATACAAAGTCATTTGCTTAGCTTAAAATGTGGAATCTCTGTTCTGCAAATAGGGTGTTTTACATAAAGCAGAGAAATGCATTAGAACATAACGCATTAGATGAAAATATAATCTGTTGAAGCTGAATAGAATCAAAGAGCCAAAAATAACAATCCAATGTTTGAATGCGTTTACAGTGTAGTAATACGTTTCCCCAAATTTAATAAAGTACAGCAGAGACATGAATCAGAAGATGAAGGAAATTCAGTTTTAACTTTAGAGGAAAGCATGTATGCACAGAATGCGTATCGTTTGAGACTTCCTACTGAACTCAGATTTTAAAATAAAATGTTACAGTATAATAAAATATGGAAAATAAATATCTCCAGTGTCGCAGTCTAAATAGCTTCATGAGGCAAATACCGGGGTGTATTTTTATACGGAACTCTTGTAACTGTAACCCTCACTGACTGAATCGTGCTCTCCTCGTCCCTTTAAGGTGCTTCTGAGAGGCATGAATGACTTTGCAGTTCTCAACACGGGGCGGAAGATGCCCCTCCTCGGGCTGGGGACGTGGAAGAGTGACCCGGGACAGGTAGAGGCTGCACTTGTGTCCTCTTTCCAAAAAAAAAAAATGTGTTTGAAAAGCAGGCTTCTTAATATTATTTATTCTGACAGATGTACGTCATAGCATAGCTGTACATTGAGTTCCACTTCCCCTCATTCCTCTATCCAAATGCAGACGTAGATCTCTACGTTCATGCATGAGAGCTGCACTAATCAATCTCTTCCAATGAATCAAATGACTGTGTGAAGTGACGTGTTGCTCATAGTGCTGAATCCGGGGAGAGTTAGCATTAGCTCCTGTCGGCTCTACAGAGCATTTCAGAGCTTCTTTTAACTTACTTTGATTTTCGAGGCCTGCAACTCACTGTTTTAGCTCAGTGCTCTTATTGACATTTGTTCCAGCAGGCGACAGTTTTCTGTGGATAAAAACCCCCAGTGCACACTGCCTGCTCAGCACTAAACAGCAGACCGCCAAAGTTAGCGACTAGCACGTGAACATAGCAGCTATAGAGCCACATCTTTTCCTCAGGAGTTGGTGGAGACAAAACCGAGCTAAAAGGACAGTAAATATATTGTTCAGATGTGTGGACACATTACTCTTAATGAATGATAATTTGCTCTGTAACTGCTGGATGTGTAAATAGGCAACTTTTGACATATCAACTTTATAATATGGTAATAATAAGTGAATGTTACCATGACTTAATTTAATGCTGCTGTAAATACATAGCTTTGACAGAGACCTATATGCATCTATGTAACACCTTTTTGCCAAACAACAGTTGTCCTGTTTTGCCACTGTCACAGGTGAAACAAGCAGTTATCTGGGCACTGGAGGCTGGGTATCGCCATATTGACTGTGCAGTCATCTATGGCAATGAGGTTGAGATCGGCGAAGCCCTGCAGGAGACCTTCGGCCCCGGCAAGGTATAGAACTAGCTCCACCAGGTTGCATTAGAAGCTCGAGGTGTCAAACTTTACCTGACGGTGTTGTCTGTAAACCAGGCCCTGAGAAGAGAGGACGTGTTCGTCACGTCCAAGCTGTGGAACACCAGGCATCACCCCGAGGACGTGGAGCCGGCCCTCCTGAAGACCCTGAAGGACCTGAAGCTGGAGTACCTAGACCTCTACCTCATCCACTGGCCCTACGCCTTTCAGTGAGCTCCGCCTCCACCAAGGACTGATAATGAGAGGATTAACTTGTTATCCTGAGAAAACTGCCCTTTTGTTTTCTTTGCATAACAAGCTAATTAACTTACTGTATCTTTATCCCAAGATAGCAGATCTGGAAAAAAAATGGACATGAATGGAAAGCAAAACTAGAGTTTGTACTGGTCTGGAATGCGTCTCTCACTTTGTATCTCCCAGACAAGGAGACGCTCCCTTCCCCAAAAAGGAGGACGGCACCTTGCTGTATGACGACATAGACTACAAGCTGACCTGGGCTTCCATGGAGAAGCTGGTGGAGAAGGGCCTCGTCAGATCCATCGGCCTGTCCAACTTCAACAGCAGGCAGATAGATGACGTCCTGTCAGTCGCCAGCATCAAACCCACTGTCCTGCAGGTACAGGGTGTTTGTGACGATGAGAGAGTTCATTTTAATTCAACAGGTTAAGTGTGAGCCACTAACTGAGCCACTGGTGTCTGTGGGTTTTGGGTGGGCAGGTAGAGAGCCACCCGTACCTGGCCCAGGTGGAGCTGCTGGCCCACTGCCGGGACCGGGGCCTGGTAATGACGGCCTACAGCCCTCTGGGCTCTGCTGACCGGTCCTGGAAGCATCCAGATGAACCGGTTCTGCTTCAGGAGCCTGTGATGGCCACCCTCGCAGAGAAATATAAAAAGTCCCCTGCTCAGATTCTCCTGAGGTGATTTTACTCCTCACTTAACTGTTTACCCCAGTGTGTAATGATCGACTTTCTTTCTTTTACGCAAACAACACACAGGTTATCTTATTGCATAGATACCTTCACATTTAGGAAAGTCGTAAGTTTTAAAATTTCAGATCTTAAAACAATAAAAAAACAAACTTAAATCCGGTTGTTAAAGGTTTTCACATGTTGATCACATATGCATCCATCTGCTTTATTAAACAGCACTTTGTTGTGCACATTGGCAGTTTCACATCAACATCAGCCAAATACTGAAGTTTCTAAAGGTTTGTTTCTGTATTTAGCATTTTTAAATTGATTCCACGTAGTATTTAAGCTGTACAGTCGTTATTGAAGGCAACCACAGAATAAGTGCAAAAGGAGAAAAATGGCTGTGTCGTGAGAGTTTAATATGTAAAAGTATTTCTTGTATCAAAAGCAGTGAGCAGTTTAAATACACATTAAATCGGTGCTGTGGTTCAGAAATACAGTCAATGGCTAAAGTCGCAGTAATACACCTTTTGGCCACTTGAGGCTCATGCACCGGGCTGTAAACCCAACAGTGACGTACGGTATTATCAGGATGCAGCATGAAGCTGATGTGGCAAACATGTTCGCATTCCTACTACCAGAAATCCTGTGTGCTTTACCACTAGTTCTTTTCCAAATCATTGCTGTAGTGTTGTACATTTCAACACCAGTTTGTTGTGTTTGCAGGTGGCAGACACAACGAGGCGTGGTGACGATCCCCAAGAGTGTGACAGAGTCCCGGATCAAAGAAAACCTTCAGGTGGAGTCAAATCTCAGTCCGGCAATTCATCTCCGAACAATGAGGCAATTAAAAAACAGCCTTCTTAATGAGATTTTCTGAACTATAGAATATCTCATTAAGGCTCCATTCTTGCCTGCAAGTAATTGAAAGCAAATTATGCTGAAAAAGCTGTGCAGATTGTGAATCATGTTTTGGTGGAACAATAGCCAGCGTGTTGTGATGTGTCGACCTCTTTGTGTTTGTCGTCAAGGTGTTTGACTTTACCCTCGAAGCCGAGGAAATGAAGAGCATTACAGCCCTGAACAAAGGCTGGCGCTACATTCTACCAATGATCCAAGTAAGTGGGCTTCATGTATGCTCTGTTTAATGAGTAGAACACGATGTATTTAAGTTACCTGCTTAATGGTTGCTATTGATATTGTTTGCAGTCAACTTGAAAACGTTATATTGATCAAGCTCAGTTGTGATATAATATATAATGAATGGGTGCCTGTGATCACAATAGTGCAAGTGTTACTCCTCAATGCCCTGATGGGTTGAAGGATAATGTAACAGAGAAAGTGTTATGTGGAGGTAAAGAGAGAAGCATCAACGTTTGGTTTGGGTGCTGCAGGTGGAAGGAAAACGAGTCCCCAGGGATGCAGGACATCCTCACTACCCATTCAATGACCTCTTCTGACGACTCCCACTGCAAGCTGAATTTGTGCCTTCACCCCCCCATCACCAATAAATGTTCCTGGAGTTTGTCTTTAGATCGTGTCAAATCCTGCTCTTATCATTAGAATTTGAAGTTACTGTTGCCGATGAAGACTGGAAAATCTGGTATGCCTGTATACATACTATGTCCATGTTATTTTTTAAATAAACATTTTGTTACTTCACCTGCAGGTGTCTTTATTTGAACAGTTGCTTATTTATGAATGAACTCGTGTGGCGTCCTATGGTGAGGACCTTTACTCTTGAGTTAAATACAGTAAGTTGTAATGCAGACGGTGACTTTACTTTGTCTCAATCTAAAAGTACATTTTACAATATACAAGAAAAATATAATTTGAGGTATTCTATGCCAGATATACATCTTGAGTCACTCTAGTAACTGTAAAGTTTTAAGTGTACGCTATATTTAGAATACTTTATCTTGCCTTCAGAGAGCTGAAGCCGTTATATCCATATATGCTCTTTTCAAAGCCAGAGGACTCCACTGACCAGAACTTAACCCTGCAGAACACGATAGTTGTTGGTCTACCGCTGACTCGATCGGTTAGTTTATTTTTTGACTTTAATGAATTCAAACTAATCCTTAAAACCTCCAAAGATCGCCTGGTGGCTTTGAAGAGAGCCTAGATAACGTCTTAAGTTCCCCGTCGGAAAAGGTAAAGCAGGTGAAATTGTTAAAATCATTCAAATCTTTATGGAATGTTCTATGATTTATAACCACCAAATGTCACAATTCTTCCATGTTAGAAAAAATATGATTTAATTATGATTTAAAAAAGGGCATGGCATAATGTCTGCTGTTCAGTAATCCGGGACTTTCAGTACCAGCGGTCAGATATGATGGTAGTCTCTCATCTCCTGCAGCACCTCTTCTAACGCTTCCTCCATTTTCAGTTTGGGAGGTCTGTGCTCACGAATGTACTGTGGGAAGAAGGACACAATGCTTTTAAGCAGTTTGGAATATACAATGTAATGTAAACGGATTTAAAGGATGACTGTTCGATTCCTCTGTCTCATGGTACTGAATGATCTTCCTCTATTCTGAATGGCAACTCCATCACAGTCAGCAAATGCAGGAAAACTATGCTGAAAACACGTCTGCTCTTTCACAATTTGGACATTCGACCATCGAGGACGTGAAACAGTGATGTAACGGGCAGTTCTTTTGTTGAGACAAACCTTTACAAACTTCTACCGATCAGGATTAATCACAACTAACTACACTCCACTATGTAGTGTTTGTGTCGTGTGATGCTTTATTACCTCCTTGGTGTCCTCCAGCGTGGTGTATCTGTAGCTGGGTGGTCCCAGGCTCTGCACCAGGCTGGAGTGAAGGCGTCGCCTGCTTTCAATGAAGCGCCGTGTCATGGCAAGCTGCTGTTTCAGCATTTCATTGAGTGCAAATGCTGCTGGGTTGGAGATGCTGAGAGCTGAGAGAGAGACACACACAATCAGTACCATGGCTTTAGCAGCGTAATACTCTCCATTATAGTTACCATCTGGGTGCAGGTTTTAAACTAGTTCATCTCTTTCTACCGACATAATACAGTTGAGCCTCAGCAGAGGTTGGGCCCTCTCAGAATGCTCTCCGGTGCTCTCTGTATATTTATGTTGTATTTTCTTCTGTTTGATTGTGTCTCTTACCTTCCACCATCTCTGCACTGAGAGTATAAGCAACCGCCGGGGTGGGATCCATGTAAGTCATGGCCACTGCAGGACCCAAAGCAGCCACACCTACAGAGGGAGGAGAGCCAGAGATAACATGTGTCACACCGATCCTGAGGACTTGTGCTACTGTGAAGAAATGTTACAGTGGTAGTGCTGATTACAGGCCCGACCACATCTTAAATGTACAAATGCCTTGTGTGGCAGACTAACCGGCGGGCCACGTGTAAGCCAGAAGATCAGGCTGAGTCTGTACTGCCGTTTCTTTTAAAACCTTTCTAGCTGAAGCACGTCTCCTTGACTGGCGAGGTAATGTCCGGCTGCCACGTGATGAAGAGGATCGGCAGGATCTGGAGTCGCTGCTTTTGCTGAGTCTTTGACTGTGATCTGAGGTCCAGGAGCGACTTGTGTCCGAGGGAGTGCTCGAGTAATCGTCTCCTGTCCTCCCACGGGACACGTCTGAATGCGAACCCTCCTCTCTGACCTCCGATACCACCGCCTCCTCTTCATCTCCATCTGCTTGCAAGTGCTCTGAAACATGGCTGACACTGTGATCAGGCTCTGTCCGGCTCTCGCTCTCAAAGTCACTTTGATAGTCCAACGCGTCCTCCTCCTGCTGCTCGTCTTTCTTCTCCTTCTTGTTCAGTTGGGGCCGCTCTTGATGTCTGTTGGGGGATTCAGGAGGATGGAGGCTGTGTTTGACTTCTCTCTGTTTAGGCCGCAGGAAGAGAGCAAACATAGAAATAATGGCCAAAATTACCCCCAAAAATTCCTTGAAGCTCTTTTAGTTTTAATGTAATTCATGAATGCAATGCAATATATAGACGTTCAGATAGCGTGACATAATACACACAACTCATCTGTATTTTATCTAATTACCTTCCGTCGTTAGTTACCCACCTCCTCTCCTGACGTTCTCTCAGGAAATCCAAGGTCGTCTAATGTCATCACATTAATCTTGAAGTCTGCAATAACACACGATCATACCAGAATTCAATAAGTTATAGTGTCATCAACACGTGATTTAGTCTGCTACCACTAACAATGAATCATTATTCTAGGCTGCTGTATCAAAATCTCATGACATGTTTATACTGTATGTTCAAAGTGGTGCATGTCAGAGTGCGTTATAATATCTGCATAACCCCCACCCCCCCCCATGACAGCTCGTCATAAACTTGTGATGCCCTACACAGCGTCTCATATCAGTCCTGTTGTCTGGTGATTCTGACTCTACAGAGGGATGATTTATGTACCTTGTTGTCCATCTAGGATGCATGAAATAAAGAGCGAGGAATAAAACATGATTATTGAACAAAAAAAACATGTTTCCTCTCTTGCAAAATGCATTTTTGACATAAATAAATCCTTAAACAATACAGGTACAGTATAACTGGTACATACAGAGGAAAGCACTGTTGTTTGTAAGTCCTTCTGACCGTTGATCTTAATAACTACAACACTAACTGCCACCTTTCCAGATGTATTTGATGCCCCGATGAACTTCTCTCACCTTCAGAGGTAACTGCACTCATCTCACTGAGGGGATCTTCAGAGAAGAGCTCCTCCAGAGAAAGCACCTCCCCGCGGCCTGACATGGAGGAGAGGGAACGCTGTGGTAGACTCCCTGCCCCGTGAGGGGAGTCACAGGGAGGAGAGGGGGATGGGGAGAGCACAGAGGGGCTGAAGTGGGCCTGAGCCTGACCGGTGAATCGAAAAGGAGACCTATGGCGAGGAGGAGAGGCTGGGGAGCGGGGGGGTGCTCTGTTTGAGGATGATGAGGGAGGGACAGCAGCGGGAGGAGGTGAGGAGTGGGCCATCTGTAAGGGAGAAAAGTATAGTATTGTTTTGAACTGAAAAAAACAGTTTATGTCAACCACGGTGCTTCTGTTTCTGTGTAAACAAATTACAACGGCAATTTTATATTCCTTTGTGATAAAAGGGGAAGTTTTACTAAATCAAAAATAGTTTGAAATGATGAAAAACTATTTTTAGAGTTTGTACAGAACTATGTCCATGTGTAGTGATGGTGTTAGCCTAAGGCATACTGAAAATAACAACATGTGGTGACAAAAAAAGCCTTCAAAGTTGAAAGGTACCTTGTCTGCTGTTCTTATAGAAGAGTGTCTCCCTGGTATCAAGAAGCTGTTGTCTACCGAATCCAACGAGTCTCCAAGAAGTTTCCTCATGTCCTCTTCATCACTTTCCAGACTGACACCACTCACTCCTCTCACTGACATTGTCTCCAAACCCGCCAAAGGTACTACGGCATCAGCAGCTCTGGACCTGACACCAATATCGGCGCCCTTTGGCGACCTAGCAGCAGCCGTAGTAATATTGTTACCAGCTACAGCCGTCTTGTTCTTGAGGAAACGTATCTGGTTACTGCTGGACTGTGCTGAGAGTTGCACAGGGGCCTCCAGGGACCGGGCGGCTGGTTCTGGAGAGACTTCCACGTCTGAATTTAGATTCTCTGCAGGTTTTGGCCCCTGTCTGACCTGTTCCTGAACCTGAACCGCAACCGGTTTGCGGCTGCGGATGCGGCTCTCTATCTGAGCCAGCCTACTCAAAGCAGCAGTCTGGGAGCCCCGCTGGGAAGATGACACATTTCTGACCAGAGAGGGATGAAGGTGGAGAATAACACAAGAACTGAGTTATAGCCGTAGAGGTGATTATTATAACTGGAAATGTTTTGAGTAGAATCAGTTCCAGAATCCACTGATTAATATAACATTTATTTATCTTACACACATAACCATACCTGTGTTCAGGCACCTGCTGCATGTGGCTCTTGCTGACAGGTGACTGGCTGCTGATGGTTGCAGGTAGTGGAGCCTTCTTCAAGAACCTGCTCCCTCCTCCACCCGGAGAGCCCTGAGGTCTGAGATACTGGCGGAAGAAAACAAAAAGCGGAGGCTTCTTGTCAAATAGGATTTAAAAACATCCCACTGTCGAGGTTTCTAAAGTCTAATTGCATTTACCGTGGTCGACAGCCCCTCTCTTGCCTGGGTCTTCCCACTAGCAGCAGCAGAGCCCAGCATGGTGTCACCTGCATGCTCAGGAGCTGAGCTGACCGAGGGCAGGTCACTCAGATCTGACAATAAAGGGTGTGTACTCGAAGAAGCGGATTTGTTTTTTAAAGATCCACCCACAGCACCCTAAAGAGAAAGGAAGGCAAGACACAGAGTGTTCAAACATCACACAAAGTGAGAGACAGCGAGAGAGTGACGCCACAATTCGTGGAAACATGTTTGAAGCTTGAGACTCACTGTGTTTCCTGTGGACCCCTGAACAGACTCCACGTCTCCCCTGTTCCTCTTGGCGGACAGCTGCGCTTGAGCTCGGTCCAGAGCGGAGCTTCGACCGCCTCGTTTCCACATCGTTATGCTGACGCTCTTATGTTAGCTACATGTTTACACCTTATTTTAGCAGCGGCTCACCCCGTTTGGGACTGTTCCATCCTGCACTGGGGGACAGTAGAGTTAGCTAGCGGTTAGCTAAGCTATGGTATCTAACATACGATGCACTTCGAAGCCCTTCATACAATTATATATAAGTTGCAATTTCACATTAATACGGTTAACGTAGCGCTTCATAAAACGGCTCATAGTGTTGCCAACTTCTTAGCCGTTACATACTGCCTACTTTAGGCATGGCGACCGCTCAAGCGTCCCTTGTATCCATGGGACGGCAGTTATTTTCTTCTTCTTCATCATCATAAATGGCAGCTCAATTCCTCATCCGGGTATTAGCGCCGCCAACTGTTCATTACGTGACATGGTTTATACAACGTAGTGTAAAAAACTACACTATCAGTGAACAACTGCCTCAAATTTGAAGAAGATTGGACAAAGTATGACCATTCTACAGTGTTTCTTCCATGAAGAGATCCAGGCGGAGCTCTAAAAGGATATTTGGAGACCCAAATGGACACATGGTAACCAAATGATATTCTTTATATTTTGATATTATATTATTTTCCTTTTAGCCTTTGCAAATACTATGTATATATGGTCAAAGACGTGGTGTTTGAGTAGCGGACTTGCTGTGCGTAATGGCTGCGACAGAGCGCACGATTGAGTATACGGGTAGCTCATTTATGCAAAGGTTATACAGTGGTTTCCGGCTTACGTAAGAAGCAGTCAAGGTTTGCACTATAAGTACTAGCGTTTTCTGAAGGCACTAGTTCCATGATAAGATCCGCTAGCACATAGACGGGTCTGTAATGTGTCTTTTTCCGTCGCAATGCTGCAAGATCCAACTTGCAGCGGTTATGGTGACTTTAGAAAGTGTGTGTTTGGGCTCAGTTTGTGACAAAATCCATAAGAAATGAAAGAAAATAGATGTTTTCTTTGCAAAGATGAGGATTTGGGGCATGCTTGGGATACTAAACACGGCCATGTTTTGTGACGTATTTTGCGGAAGCAAGCCGTACGAACGGAAGGGGAGGGGATCGAGGACGCCGGCGTCCTCGCGGGGTGGAGGTTTTAACAACTCAATGTTTACCATGTTCACTGATCACATGTTCAATCCATCCAATTGTTGTGATATTTCAGTCTGGACCAAAGTGGAAGACAGATTGCGAATTACATATTGTGGGTATTTAATTAACTGGGTGATGACAATCATTACTGTATTTCAATTTGACTACTTTATACAACAACAGCATAAATAAACAGACAAAAGATTCACATTTTTTCCATTAAAACACAATTTAGACATTAATAATGGAAAATGGTACTTTTAGTAAATATTAATAGCCGAATATATAAAATAGTGTGTGAAAAACCATGTAGATTTTGAATGGCAGTGAGGCAGCGTGTCTATAAGTCACATTTTGTTTTTCCTGCCTTTTTTTTAGTTGCTCTTAGCGACGCTAATGACATACAAACCTTTCACAATGCATGCAGGAACATTTTTTTGCAGAAAAGCAGAGTGCAAAAAGAGACACATTACATTATTTGACCCAACAATAATGGATAAATAAATGCAGTTATATTAGGCGTTGCCATGACTCCACAGTGAACTTGTCAACTCATTATACTCCCATTTCCACCTTTTACAAATAATCTCCATGTGAAGAAATACAACAAGCATTTTACTGTGGTTTTTGCATCCTAAACTCAAAGGTTTCCTTGACTTGGATCCTATAACACCATGTGTTGCTCTCTAGCAGGATAATGGTACACATGGAGTTTCTCATGAAGCAGATCTGGGTTGAACTAACAGTGGTGAGTTAGAAATCATCGACACTGACGAGATTGTTGTCATTTCTCTCGCAAGTTTCTGGAATCAGCTTATGACTCCAAATGGACTCCTGAATATGAAGCATGAATTATTTATTTATTTTGTAGGGGTATGGCCAGGTCAAACAGAGAGTCATCCAAAAGGATGACTCTGTTGTATTTAAACCTTTTTAGAAGTCTTACTGTAGGAGGTAAAATAATGCAGTAATTTAAAAGAAGGGAGATGGATCCATGGACGGTTGTTTCCACCAATCGGAGACAGTTGACCAGTGGTAACTTTGTTGACGGGGTTAAGAATGGGGATGTAATCTTTCCACATAGCTTGCAAGCTACCTAGCTACAGTCATGAGAAATCCTATAACAACAGAAAAAGAAAATGTGACGAGCTGATGAGATCGACGCAGCAGTGCAAGTTCTCAAAAAAGAAAAATGTCAACTGCTCCTAGCTACTGCAACTGAAGCTCTGTGGCAACTGAAAATGTTGGTGAGCCGGATACATCTCTCACTCCTGATGAGGCAAAACAAAGCAAAAAAAGAAACACTCTCAATTAGAAATCGGCGAACATAAACACAATGTCAGGTCAAACTAATTAAGTGAAACGAACTGGAAATTCTGTCTAGATTAGGTTTACCGAGAATCCACATTAAAAGCCACACGAGCTACAGGACCGTTCAATCTGCATCAACTCTGACCAGCTGTCTGTCTATCAGCAGCACATCTCCTGAGGAAATGAGAGGACAGCAGTCCGCCATACTGTCTTCATCAGGCTGACAGTAGACATTTACTGCTGAATCCTACTGTTTTGGTTCACTCTCACTGCTCTCATATAGTACAGTACAACTAAGGGAAAGTAGTTATTAACCACAAAGGCTTTTCCAATTATTGTGCTCTGGGTAGAAATAGAACTTCATGGTCGTTCTTGGGCTTCATTGCCTGCCACACACACCAGAATAAATTGATGAAATTGACGCTGGTACAAAGAATAATGTTATTCTTTATGCCAGTCATTTATCTATAAAATGTACTTATGACAGCGTTGAACCTTCTGTACATCTAAACATGTTCTGTCTGACAGCCTCCAGATCAAAGCACATCAACATGAGCAGCTGCACACTGCGAAACAAAAGATTAAATAGGATACACTGGACAACATCTCTAAGTATATGCTCACATATCTTCAATTTGAAATGTCTTCATTCCTTTTGGAACTGAGGTAACATGGGAACTTGAGCTTTTGATGCTTACTTATATGATGGGCTGAGCTGCAGACAGATCAAAGTTGAGAACATCAAGACAAAGAACAACACACAAGCAAGTGTGTGCACCATCAAAGCGAAACACGGACCGGTACAGGACGTGAGCATCAGGCTGACAGTTGGGTATGAGATGCAGATTGTATCATGTCTACGACGTTGACACTCAACGAAGCACATGCTTGGTGAATGCAAACTGTCTGTGGCAATTTTGTGAAAGGGTTTGTTCTGTTGCTGCTAAAGGGATCTTGTCGTTGAGATATTTCAGTCTGGGCCGACCGTCATACAGACATTGCCATTACTAGTGCCATGCTAATATTGTTGGCAACTATGTTGTAAATGTGGCTGCTGTATAACAGGCCGACCAAGAGAAGAGAGGAGGAAAACCTGAGCTTGAGCCCAGCTGAGACCTGCTGAGTCCTGTTAAGTTACTGCTGATGAAAGCGTAATATCTCCTGATTTTGCTGCTTCAAAAATAAAAGCTTTTAAATAACAAATTAACATGGGGTTTTTATTGTGAAGAATTTAGAGAAAAATGTGTTTGTCACTGGATAACCAGAGCTTTGTCAGCGGCTAATCTTCAATAACAAAGTCTACCAGTCCTGCAGGGAGGAAGAGAAAACAGCAAAAAATAACATGGGACTTTTATTGTGAGGAATTTAAATAGATATGAACACTAACCGTTAAGGCAGCACGCATTGTTTCAAGTGCACTTATGCAGACACATTGAGTTCAGATCTGGCGTATCCGATCACAAAATTCACATTTAAAAGACAAGTGTAACCACGGAAACAGAGGGGCAGTATGGGACCCTATTATGGGTCAAGCTCCAAACTAGAATTACCGCCTCATGATTGTATGCCTCCGCCGATCAGTCATGTTGCAGATTACATCAACGTTATCCTTGATAACTTATAGTCAAAGTTAGAAATGAACAAGAATGGGACGGACGTACGGTACCAGTGACCTTGACCCTATACCTCCAAAATTCCCTTCCTGCCTTGTAAACAACTTTCAAACTCCATGCCCCGTATTTGTCACTGAACTTTGAAGCCTCCTGCCAATCTTGGATATCCCATTGGGGTTATTAAAGATGTCATGACGAGTAATGTGTAAAATCAATGGAGTGCTAACAAGCCAGATGTAGGAGACGTGTCATATTTTTGTTGTGATCTCGGATGTGTTAACATACAGTAAAAGTTGTTTTTTTTCCAATCAGTACCTCAAAACTTCCATCACAAAACATCCGTTATCCACACTCCCCTAACTACTGACTCCTCTGTGACACTGTAAAAGCAGAGTTTGGAGCCAGGGGGCTAAACAACAAGAAACCACAAATAAATCAAACACACGACACAGTTTAAGCACAGTCCCCTTAATTTGTGCTTTTTGCCAAAATCCCTCCGTCTCTCAAGTTCAACAAAATCATGTCTGAGGCTAAAATGTTGTTTGGTAAATCATCATTCAATGAGTGTTTTGAGTTAATTTCTTGGTGGATGTCAGTGATGAATTCTGCATGTAGTTTTCAGTTTTTAAGAAAATTCATAACCAACAGGTCAAATAGTCCGTCAGTCTATGCAGGACCCTCGACTTTGATAGATGTCACAGTGGCCATGAAACAACGTTGGAAAAGGCGGTCAGGGTCCGGGGGCTGGTTGTCACAGTCCAGCTTGCCCCTCAGGAAGTGTTTCTTGAGGCCTTGAGGACCGGCGGGGGCGCTGGAATGGCTCGGTCCTGGTCTTTGTGGACTCGATGTAGAGCCTAGAAGACAGAAAGTTCACTTAGAAACTTGCGTGTGAAGAGCCAGACCGACTATGCAAACCACCAGTAAGTAAACCTGTCAGTATTATCTTATAATAACGTTTACATTAGGTATGTTTCCATTGAATTGTCAAGCCAACTTTAAGCAATCCTCTTAAATATCGCAAAAGAATGCGAATAAGGTACGTTTCCATCAACTGGGTTGGAGTGAATAAACTCAGCTACAGTGTAGTTTGGTTAGAGGTTGGTGTTATAGGCTATGCGTGTCTGTAATCCGCCAGCAAACAGAGTAGAAAAGGTTACGAACCGCAAACAAAACAAGTCGGCTTGGCCATCTGAACAAATACCGCCCATCTATGAGAGAAAAATGGAGATAGGTGTTCAGGAATTCATTTCACCTCTTACATTACAGCCAGTACTGATCTAATTAGACCACTTGAGAGAAAATACGTGTCGGTGTACCACGGGTGAGCGGCGCTTTTTGATTTTATAAAGGTCAAATAGCCCAGATTCAGTGTAATTGTTAGCATTTAACAAGGCTTTGAAACAACATGACAAATTACACTCTTATTATAGACCATTTAAAATCTAACTACAATTTCCATCTATTTTATCTGCAAAACTCAGCCTCTATATAGATTGGTTGTTTCCTAAAACGTATTCAGTTTGAACAGCTGAGGCAAATCTTAAGGACAGTATAGGTCCTTGGTGGACACCTATGGCATCTATCACCTGTGTCCAGTCAGGAATAGGAAGGATACGTTCTCAAAAAGTGACGTAACAGCTGCTGAAAATCTTGTGTTGTGCTCATTCAATAGTTTTCTCATTATTGTCAACATAAACAACAACAAAAAAGATTAATCATTTAACCACGCGAAGAGCGTTGAATGTATGAGCAGTCAGTTTTAAGATACCAAAATAACAAGCTTGCTAAATTCTGGTAGTTCATTCCTTTCAAAACTTTCGTGTCGGCCATTAATAAATGTCAGGCTATACACGGTTCAGTGAAATTTATCGACATGTTCGCAGAATTTCCCGCCACCGAGAGACGGAGCTGCAGTCGGTACCTGGTGCTCGGAGTGGCAGCCCATTGTCCAGACCTCTGGGTTTGGTGGTGATGAACAGATAGCAGAGGACACACAGAGTGACGATGAAGGCGAGAAGAACCACAGCTGCTACAGAGAGACCCACCAGAGCTCCGAAACTGTGAAACAGAGAACAAAGACACAGCAGGACTATTGTAAATTCATGGCTCTCAGCATGTTGTCCAACAGACTGGAAATAGGATACAGTCTGCGCACAGTAATGGATCCAGCTGCATTTAAAATGTGAACACTGATTAAAATGGATAAATATTGCTAGCATGTGTTTTCTTTTATTAGATAGACTTTATTTCAGACTCAGGGTCCAGATAGACAAATGCATAAAATGACATACACAAACAATAAAAGTACATAGGCCTATAGCAATGCCTTACAAAGAGACAGCTGTACCAATGTCGCCACAGCTGGGACTGGTAGCGTGTGCTACTAAACCGTATGTTTGTTAAAACCAATATGATCTAATTTTCAGAGTCATTAAGTCGACAAATGAATTTATACATGAGATTTCTTAAAACAGTTTGGAAAGTATTGACTCGTGCAGCCACAAACATTTCACTGGCACTACTCCATCTCGCTCTCTTTAGCAGTATTCTCATGGCGTCATTATAAGCTAGTTGAAGTCTCTGTAAGCCTTTTTTTTCTGTAGTTTGACCACAAGTGTGCAGTGTAGAGTGGTGTACAATATGCAATATGCTCTGAACAGAGACATCTTCACTCCATCTGTACACATACTAAACCTGCGTGAGAGGCTGTTTGCTTGTGCATACATCCTACGACATTGCCTAGAAATGTCTTTATCATCGGTCATGTGTTCCGTTATAAAATGACCAAGATATTTTACTTCACCACAGACATCAAGAATTTCGTCAGACAATTTGAAGTCAGGGAAGTTTAGACATTTGTCCTCTTTGGTTCGACAGATCAAGATAACACTCTTACTGGCGTTGTATTTGATGTCATGTTCCACACCATACACAGTACATATAGTGAGGAGCTGTTGAAGGCCAGCGCTACATGGACTAAATATCACAAGATCATCTGCATACATGATATAGTTAACCAGAGTATTTCCAATCATGCACCCAGTATTACAGGCTTTCAATTACTTGGACAGATCATCAATAGATTAAACAGAACTTGTCGGACACCATTGCTAACCCCAAATGGGGCTGAGACACTTTTACCCCATTTTACTTGCATAGTCTGCTGCGCATACCAGTAAGCCAGAATTCTCAAAATGTATGTGGGGACACCTCTTTGGCTCAGTTTGAAAAACAACTTACTATGATTAACACGATCAAAAGCTTTGGAGGCATCAATAAAACACATCAGAACTGATGAGTTTTCACCTCTGTATTTGTTGACAATTTCTGTTATCTGTGGAGGAGATAAAGTCATATATTCTGTCCAGCAGGATTCCTTCTAGGACTTTTGACAGTACGCTGGCCAAAGCAATGGGCCTGTAATTATAGGCTAGATACTTTACCAGCTTTGTTTTTAATGACTGGCACTAAGAGAACAGACAGCATCGAGTCTGGCAACAAGCCGTGAATCATGAAGCCAATAAAAGAAATAGCAAGGAGAGGAGCTAACCTCGGACTAGCATATTTAAGGTGTTCAGCAGTGGTCCAAACCACTTGCTTTATTATCCATCACTTTATCCTCTTAGACGTTTCTGTGATCTTGATTAGCATATTCATTCTTGAGTTACGGTCACAGTGACCTTGACCAAGTAGACTTTTTAACAAATTTGAAGAAATTCCCTGAAAATATAATGCGGTAAAGCATGAAGCATCTGTTCACATCATTGACACATGAATTCATTTTAATCAATTTATAAACTCCTGGATATGTTTTTAAGCAAAAATTCTGTTTGTGTTCAAAACTTTCAGCACATTCAAAATATTTATCTGTGTTCCCTGAAAAGTTATTATATATATTCATGTATTATTTTTATCTCTAAGCCAGCGGGACGCAGAGACAGTGACACAGAGCTACCGGTCGGAAGAAAAATGTCACACTGCAGTCTAAATTTTCAGTCAAAGGTCAAAATAATGCTAAAACATGAACACATGATTTGAAGCAACCTGTTCTATTATGATTTATATATTTTTTAGCATTGGCCCTAATACCCCTTTTGGCTTATCTTATTCTCCCACCGAAACCTACACCTGTGCTGTTCAGTCACCTCCAGCGTATTAATGAGGGAGCTTTAGAGCTGCTGGAAGGTGCATTTATTCTGGTGACACAAACCACTGAATCACAACATCAAGTGGCAGAATGTGAGATTTTCTGAAAAACACAATGCTGCTTGAGTAAACCCTTCGATATTCTCTCATGCAGTGAGATGGTAAATGGACTGTACTTGTATCGCACTTTTCTATTCTTCCGACCACTCAAAGTGCTTGAACACTACATGTCATCATTCACCATTCACACACATTCACACACTAAAGGCAAGGGCCACTGAGCCACAGTGTGATTTGGTTTAAACAAATCAACTCAAGTATAACAACATGGCTGCCTGAATACTTAAGCCAGCTGGAACATAATGGACAATCAAGCTGGAAGAAATACGGAAGAAGTCAAAGAGATGTAAAGTGTAAAGATCAAAAAGATATGTACTGTTTTTTGTTATAGTGTGCTTCAAATGTGAGCAGCAGAGGGCTGGAGTGGTGTGTTACATGCCCATTCTGTGCTTTGAGAGAGAAAAGCACTCAGTAAAAGATGTTCCTATACTCACACATAATGAAAAATAATGATGCGGAGCCGGGTAATTTCCCTCGCCCATAATTCCGATGGAGATGAGTTGGTAGTACCGTGCTACATGATTTGCATTGTGATGAAATTACAATTAATTATGATATCGATTTGTAGAATCAAATATTAATGAATCCTCGGATTTTTTACATTACTATACCTTTCCATGTGAGTTTGGACTTAGACTTTCGATATAATGACTTAAAGGCTCAGTTCGCACTAAATTACCTCACTTACCTGCAGTGCTCTCTAGCACCTCAGATAGTTTGGGTTTTATGCAGCTTTTGCAATATCCATTAAATCTCTCCGACACAATACGATGGAGGTGACATTTTGTTTGCCGTGCACTGAGAAATGATATCCTCACCGTTTCAGTGGAACATAGCCTGCTGAAAAAAAAATTGTTCCAATCAAAAATGTTGACAGTTCAGTGGATTATCAGAGAAAAAGTTGGATCAATGCATCCCTAGATCTTTGTCATTTACTGAATGAGAGGCAATGTTGTCATGAATGATATAACTTACATATGTGGGCCTCAAAGGTGTGTTTCAGATATGCATTAATGAGCATCAATTAGTGTTGTTTTTTAATCAAATGTATTCCTAATTAGTCTATAGTCTCTTATGACATCCAAATAGCCTAACTGGAGACACAAAGAGGAAGGCAAGCAAAATACCAGTAACAGGTTGGCTTCATTACGTGCTTAGTAACCCACACATGCACGTTTTAACCCCTTAAAAACTCACATTTCTAGAAGTCTTGAACACAATAAATGATTCTGTGCAGAATTAGTTTGCCTTCACTGACACCATGCCTGGTGCACGTAATTAAAATCTGGAGAGCATATGAGAAGTTAACGGGTACATTCAACCTCCACTACACATTCTGACACGGGGGAAAAAAAGCGTAAATGAGACACTTTTGGGACTGTGTTTATCACCCCTTACCTTAACCACCACATGTATCCATATTCGTAAGGGAAAAAGCTGTTTGGGTCATCGCAGCAGTACTTCAAGTCATTGAACCCGCAGCAGAAAAGTGCCGTGGTGTCACTGTCCGCTTTCGGACACGTGAAGCCCTCCACGAACACGTTTTCTTTGCCGTAGTAACTTTCGCAGTCCGAGCTCATATCAGCCACAGTAGCGCACGTGGCGCGCATTAAGACGCGAGCTCAAGCCGCACATCTCCCATTGCTGCGACTCCACATCAACAAGTCTGATCCTCGTGGGGCTGCAGGCTCCAGAATGGGTGGAGGTGCAGACCGGCTCTCTCTCTCTCTCTCTCTCTCTCTCT